TCAAATGGCCTCAATAGCCAGTGCTGGGCCAGATTGAAGCCAAGAGCCAGGAGTGTCTTCTGGGTCTCCCACATGGGGTTCAGGGGCCCAAGCACTTGGACCATCTTCCACTGCTTTCCCAGGTGCACTAGTGGAGAGCTGGCTGGGAAGTGGGGCAGCCGGGACTTGAACAGATGCACATATGTAGTACCTTAACCCACTGAACCACAATGCTGGCTCTGTGTTTTGGTTGTTGTTGTTTGTTTGTTTTAAACGTTTATTTATTTGAAAGACAAAGTTAGAGAGAGGGAAAGAGAGAGAGAACCTTCTGTCCGCTGGTTCATTCCCCCAAATGGCCGCAATCACAAGGCTTGGCCAGGCCGAAGCCAGGTTTGCTCCCGTTTTAAAGGGGCAAAGTCGCCAGGACAGCACAGGCCCCACAGCCATGGAACGGAGCGGCTCTGCCGAGAGCACCTGGAGGGGCCCTGCAGGAAGACCCACCCCTCTGAAGGCTCCCGGCCAGGGCTGCTGCGGGAACAGCTGGACCCCGGGGCCTGGCCTGCGTTTCCAGCGGGCGTGGGGCTGCCGCTGCAGGCTGCAGAGAGCCGCTCAGTCCTCACCCAGGGCCCCTGGCTGGCCCAACAGGCACTGAACGCAGCAGGGCAGGGAGCCCCAGCTTTGGACATGATGGGGAGCAGGTTGGGGCCCTGACAACCCCTCCTCTTTCCCCTGTAGTAAAGGAGGCCCCCGTCCCCACTGTGAGTTAAGTGCTGCATGCGTGGGAGGGAAGCCATGGAGACCCCTCTGTGGCCTTCCCCACCCCACTCCGAACAGTTTGGGTACCCGGGGAGCCCAGAATAGCCGAGCGTGGAGGCTGTGAGCCCAGTGCCTGGCTCAGATCTCCATTCTGCTGCTTAACCAGCTGGTGACGCCTCTGGGCAAGGCGTCTCCTCCCTGAGAAACGGGGGCAGTAGAGCTGCCCACCCTCAGGGCTGGGGTGAAGAACGAGTGGATACAGGGCAGCGCCGATCATCTAAAAATCCAAAACACTTCCAAGCCTGCAACTTGCGGAGTGGCAACGCGCTGCCACAGGTGGAAAATTCCACACTACGGAGCTTTGCTTCCTGTACAGAATCGCTAACAATGTTCTATACAATTGCCTTCAGCCTGTGTGTGCAGGGGCTGTATCTGGAACAGAAATGAGTTTTAGACCTGAGTCCCATGCCCAAGATATCTCATTGTATGCTTGTGGAAGCAAATATTCCCAAATCCAACAAAACCCCAAATCCAGAGCTCTCGGGTCCCAGGCGTTCGGGAGAAGGGAATGTCATCCTGGATCTGGAACGTTCGCCGAGCAGCCGGGGGACCCTGGCGGGCACTCAGCAAATCTGGAGCTACTGGCACTGCGACCCCTCTCAGCTTCTCCACACCCACGTCCACTTCCCGCCTGAACAGACTCGTGCTGTGCATTTTTTTTTTTTTTTTGACAGGCAGAGTGGACAGTGAGAGAGAGAGACAGAGAGAAAGGTCTTCCTTTGCCGTTGGTTCACCCTCCAATGGCCGCCGCGGCCGGCGTGCTGCAACCAGCCGCACCGCGCCGATCCGATGGCAGGAGCCAGGTACTTATCCTGGTCTCCCATGGGTTGCAGGGCCCAAGCACTTGGGCCATCCTCCACTGCACTCCCTGGCCACAGCAGAGAGCGGGCCTGGAAGAGGGGCAACCGGGACAGAATCCGGCGCCCCGACCGGGACTAGAACCCGGTGTGCCAGTGCCGCAAGGCGGAGGATTAGCCTAATGAGCCGCGGCGCCGGCCGCGCTGTGCATTTTGTTCTGCAGTTTTTTTCTCCCGGTTCTGTCTTTGATACTTCCCTCCTCCGTCTCAGACTTTTCTGTCCTGGGGTCCTGGTTCCCCTTGCCTCTCCCTTGTGAAGTCCAGCGGAGACTCGCTGGTTCACACTAAGGTGTAAATGACTGATGGGGAGGCCCACATCGGAGGAGACCAGGCTGGGGGCCACACAAGCCCCAGGGGCTCCTCCACCTCTCACAGTGGCCCTGCGGGGCAGGTCCAAGACTGGCTCCATTATACAAGGGGGCGGGTGAGGCACAGACAGGGTGAGGCTCTCCAAAGTCATGTAGCCAGCAGGGGCAGAGGCTGTTGGCCTGGGAAGCTCAGCTAAGCTGGGAGTCAGACTCAGGTTGGGCAGAGGCGTGGTCAGCTGACCAGCTCCAGTGAGCAGTGCTGAGGGGCAGCTGCTGGGTCCTGAGGGCTTGGAGGGGCAGGGCGGGGCGGGGAGGGCAGGAGTTCTGCAGGGCTGGGCTCCAGGAGGAGGGTATTTCTGAGGTGGGGGTGGGGGGGTAGGGTCTGGGGCACCCCTGCCAGGCATGGTGGCTCGGGCAGGCCGGGTGTGGGGGGTGCCCTGCAGCAGTCTGCCTTTCCCCTGTCCCTCATCTCAGTTCTTCTGGCCGGATGCGGAGACACAGGAGCCGTAAGCAGTCCTTGGGCTTTGTGAGTGAGCAGGTGCACAGGGAGCCGAGGCTAGGGGATGAACACGCCCGGCGGCTCTGCCCTCCCATCCCCGCAAGTCCCTCCCTTCTCCCCATTCCCACCCAGACCACACTCAGAGCCACCAGGCAGGGACACCGGGGGTGTCCCCCAGGTAGCCTCCTCCCTCTGCTCTGTCACCTGGGCCACCCTCCCCTGGAGGCCCCAGGGCCAACACTGCTGCAGACCCCTTGCTGTGCACATGGTTCTGACGCCCTCTCCCAGGGGGCCCACAGATCCCGGCTGGGTGATGGGGCCGGAGTCCTGTGTCCATTTTACAGATGGGAGAACTGAGGCCGGCAGAGCCAGTTAGAGACTGAGCAGGGCCTAACACAGGTTCGCTCACGGCAAAGCCAGCTCTAGCCTGGGCCAGGCCAGGCTCCCAGGCCTTTGTCAGAGAAACAAGGGGCTCGTTCTCCCCCGGCCTTCCCTGTGCCGGCACTGCCAGGCCCTGGCCAGCCCCTCCCCCAACCAGGGCCAACTGAAGCCAGATTGTCCCCAGGGGTGCCATGGGTGTGTGGGATGCAGCTGCGAGGGAGTGGGGGGGCAGCTGCAGGTCTGTAGGGCCAGTGTGTGTGGTGGCAGCGGGGGCGGCAGACAGGGCCACCTCTCTGTGGGTTGCAGCTGCGCCCCTGCGGGAGGGAGGGGGCAGCTGCGCCTTGCTCCCTGGGGACTGCCCTGCTGGGAGCTGGGCAGAGACCCCCTGGGGCTCCTTCCCGGCTCTATGGAGACCCAACCCTCCCCACCTGGGCTTGGATGGCATCTAAGCTCTGTCCCCTCCACAGGCCACTTAGCCTCCCAGTGCCTCGTGTCCTAGGAACCCTGACTACCTCTAGGGGCCGGTGCCTGACCCCTGCAAATGCCAGATCCATCCACATTGTTGTCATCTCCTCGGCCTGCAATCCTCACCGAACGGTTGCCGGTGTGTCCCGCTTGTTCTCATTCAGTGCGGCGTCTGGCATCGCCAGAACACGGCTGCTTTGCCACCTCCGGAGGTCTGGGGCTGTCCTAGGAGCTTGGCACATGGCTCTGGCCGCTGCTCTGCCCGCGTCGGCACCCCCTACCCTGCTTGGGGCTGTCCGCGGCTCGCCTACGGGTGCTGTGCGCGGGGCACGGCAAGTTAGGTTTGTGTCGTGCGCTCACCGGCCTTCTGAGGTGGACACTTGCCCAGTTCACCCAGGGAAGAGTGGCAGAACCAGGATCCCAGCCCACTGCTGTCCTGCTGGGAGGCCCTCGCTCAGCCTCGGAGCCCTACTGTCTCCACGGTGAGGGGCCCTCCAGCTCCTGCCAGACCTCACCTTTCAGACAGCCTCACTCCCCGGGGAGGACCTTGGACGTCACAGGGTCCGGCCCTTGCATTTTTGTCAAAGGGGAGCATGGGAAGACAGAGGCTTGGGGCAGGAGGACGGGACTTGCCCAGGGTCACACAGTGGGCTAGTGACATTCTGTTCTGCCCTCCCACTCTCCCGACAGGGCAGGGGGCCTAGATCCCGCCTGTCCCACCGAGGCCCATGCAAGACCAGGGCTGGCGCCCGTGGATCTGCCTTTCTCCTTTCCTAGGCTCAGGGGCAACACTGGGCTCCCCAGGGTTGGGTCATAAGTCATACCTGCTACGCTCACTCGCTCATCTCAGTGGGTGACGTCCCGGGCCCTGGGCCGGAGGCTGGAGCTGCTGTAGTGAACCAGACAGACAAAATGCCAGCCCTCAGGGCAGCTTGCTTCCTGTAAGAGAGGCCACAGCAAAATGTATACTATTTACAAGGTGATAAGTGGCATGGAGAAAAATTAGAGGACGGGGGCATAAGGAGGGTGCGAGCCGGGGGGGTGGGAGGTTGGCCATTTTGATTGGGTGGATGTGGACGGCCTCTTCGAAGCTGAGCCTTGGAGGAGATGAAGGGGTGAGCCATGAAGGTCTCTGGGGAAACAGTATTCCCCGCAGGGGGGCTGCACATGCAAAGGCCCTGAGGCTGGCAGGTGTGGCCAGAGCAGAGAGAACCAGGGAGAGAGTAGGGGGAGCCGGGGTCAAAGGGGAGCGTGCGGTGGGGGCTGGTTGGGAAACATGAGGACGTCAGCTTTTCCTGGGAAGGGGGAGCCATGGAGAGTTCTGAGCAGAGCGAGGGCCAAGATTGGCTTAGGTTTTAACAGAACGCGTGTAGCAACCGTTGAGTCAAGTGTCATGGAGCAAGACAGGAGGAGGGAGTCTGAGCACGAGGAGGCCCCTTGGGAACCCAGGAGTGACACGGTGCAGCCTGGGCGCATGCGGGGGGCAGACCTGGCTGGATTTGGCGTCACAGAGGCTGACCGCGAGCGTTGGGGGCCGACTGCAGGCATTGAACAGGAAGGGAGCCTGGAGCTGCAGGCCGGCCCCAGGGAGCCTGACTTGGCGCCTCGCTCTGTGGCCGTGGGCACATCCATTCCCCGCCTGCACCAGCGCTTGTCCGGGTCCCTCCCTCACGCACCTGCCCGCCTGGCCCACAGGGAGCGAGCGCCAGCAGCCGCCATGGCGTCGCGCATCGGGCTGCGCATGCAGCTGATGCGGGAGCAGGCGCAGCAGGAGGAGCAGCGGGAGCGCATGCAGCAGCAGGCCGTCATGCACTACGTGCAGCAGCAGCAGCAGCAGCAGCTGGTGACGCCCACGCCGGCCATCAACACCCCCGTCCACTTCCAGTCGCCGCCACCTGTGCCCGGGGAGGTGCTGAAGGTAGGGCCCGCCCCGCCCCCGCCGCCCGCACTGGTGCCAGCCTCCCCCTAGAGCCGCTGCCCCCCTTGCTTCCCAGGTGCAGTCCTACCTGGAGAACCCCACCTCCTACCACCTGCAACAGTCCCAGCACCAGAAGGTGCGCGAGTACCTGTCCGAGACCTACGGGAACAAGTTCGCTGCCCACATCAGCCCTGCCCAGGGCTCCCCAAAGCCCCCGCCTGCCGCCTCCCCTGGGGTGCGGGCGGGACACGTGCTGTCCACCTCAGCTGGCAACAGCGCCCCCAACAGCCCCATGGCCATGCTGCACATCAGCTCCAACCCGGAGAAGGAGGTAAGCAGGGGGCGCCACATGCCATGCTCCTGATACTAGTAGGGTGGGGGGTGCTGCCTTCGGGGGTCCCAGTCTGAGGGGGGAGACACAGCCCCATCCCCAGGGAGCCCCAGTCTGAGGGGGAAGCACAGCCCCATCCCCAGGGAGCCCCTGACTGAGGAAGGACACACCCTCCCTACTTTGGAGAGCTCTGTTGGGAGGAAAAGAGGACCCCCCCACACAGGGGCAGAACCTCAGACAGCCGTAGTCATTCCTCCTCTGGGCCCCCTTCCTCGCCCCCAAGACAAGCAAGCTGGGCAAGGTGGCTCCTGGGCCCCAGAGGGTCACTGGCTTCCCAGCACCCGCTCTGCCTGCCGCGGGTGCGCCGCCCCAGGTGGACTTCCTGTCTTGCAGTTTGACGATGTCATCGACAACATCATGCGTCTGGACGACGTCCTGGGCTACATCAACCCTGAGATGCAGATGCCCAACACGGTACTGCCCCTGGGGGTGAGGCCGAGGACCCCCAGGAGCCCTGCGCCTGGGGAGAGCTGGAGACGGCTCCTCACTGGCCAGGGCTGCTGTCTTTCTGCAGAGATGGTCCGGGGCCCAGGGCTGAGCAGAGTTAGGGTTTGAGCAGGCTGTGCCTCAGCCTACATGTGTGATATGAGCCAGGTGGCTGTGGCAGTCTCGGAAGGCTTCCTGGTGGGGGCAGGGAGGAGGCGGGGAGAGTAGTGCATCCTCAGGAAGACCTGGAGCTGGTGGGCTCCTCTGGGGATCCAGGGGCCCCTCTTCTGCCAAGTCCAGGGCCTGCAGGCACAGACCTGTGTCCCTCGAGGGGCTGGCCTTATCCCTAGCTACAGGACCCCTCTGCCTGGCCGCCTCCTGGCTGCACGGCTGCAGTCTGGGTCGGCGGGCAGGGCCGAGAGGTGGCTGCCCTGGGAATCCAGAGGCTTCTGGCTTTTGCCATGACCCTGGGGGAGTCCCCCCACCATCGTGAGCCCATTTACTCAGCTGCAAAGTGGGGAGAAGCCACCCGCCCAAAGCACTGCGGGAGCTCTGCTCGGGGAGCCAGTGTCCCCCGGAGCCAGAGGACCGCTGGGGCCTGCCGCCTTCTTGGGGTGCGTCTTGAACCTCGGCTGCATACTCCTGCCGCTGCTGTCACCCCCATCCTGACCCCAGCCCCTGCCACCAAGGGAGGGAAAGTCGCCGGTGCCCGAGCTGGGGAGCCAGTCCATCCTCAGCCCCCCACTGCCCTGGTGGCTTAGCAGGAACCGGCCAGGGCCAGTTGCACGCACCCCTGTGGCTCGCAGGGGCAGCAAGGGAGGGCGACGCGGTTGCGTCCTTGGCTGGTTCCCACGTGGCGGTGGTGGCGGGAAAGGCCTGTGTTTGCACTGCGCAGGACCTGGGGACTTTTCCAGAGCTCCGACCTGCCCCTGTTGGGCCCCTGTAGCCTCCATCGGCTGCCCAGCTGCGAGTGCCACGGGCCCTGCCTGTTAGGTGTGGCATAGCTCGGGGTCCTGGCCTTTCGTACCCCCAGAGAGGAGAGATGGGGAAAAAGGAGACGGAGACCGACCTCAACAGAGACAGGTGCTTTATTCGAAGCAAAGAGGTTAGCCACGGTTTGTGGCTCCGAAGACTGCGCGCGCGGGGCGCCTTTAGAACTGAGTTTTTATCCAGCTAAGGAGGGAATTTGCCACTGTGGGGGAGGGGGCACCTTTCTGGCCCTCTCTGCTCCGGTCTCAGCTCCACACCCTCGGGGAAGCCTTTCCCAACAGCAGGTAGATAGCCGCCCCTCCCTGTGGCTCCCGGCATGCCTCGGCCTCATCCTATCACGGCGCTCCCTTAGCCACTCTCCTGCTGAGCTCCTCGCGGGCTGGGGCTCCCGGCTCCGGCTCCGGCTCCATAGACCTGAACTGCGAGGTCCTTGCCTGGGACCATGCGCCCTGCGGGGGGCTCCCCGTGGCGAGGGGACTGCTCACTGGCTGCTCCTCCCTCTCCCCGCCTCTCCCCACAGCTCCCGCTGTCCAGCAGCCACCTGAACGTGTACAGCAGTGACCCCCAGGTCACAGCCTCCCTGGTGGGCGTCACCAGCAGCTCGTGCCCCGCAGACCTGACCCAGAAGCGAGAGCTCACAGGTACTGGCTGCCTCCCTCTGCCCCGCGCCACCTCCCCCTCCCTCCTTTTCTCCCCCTCCCCCTCAGCTGCCGTCTGTCCTCTGCCCCGGCTGCAGATGCTGAGAGCCGGGCCCTGGCCAAGGAGCGGCAGAAGAAAGACAATCACAACTTGAGTGAGTCCTGCCCTGCTGCCCCTCCCCGCCTCGCCCGCTCCACCTGGGCGGGCTACCGAGCCCCTCCCGGCCTGCACCGGTCCCAGCCCGGCTCCCCGGCCGCAGGCTGCTCCTCGGGCAGAGGCCCGGAGCGCTCCCATTGGCGCAGCTTGAATGGTGGGTGGGCTCTTTATCCGGGAGGAGGAGAGAGGGGGGCTCCCGGGAAGGCCTCTCCGGAAGCCACGCCCGGTCCGGCTGTAGGGCGTGGAGCCCGAGCCAGGAGCTCCGTGGGACGATGCGGAGGGGTTTTGCCCCAGGTGCCTTTGCTGTGCCGACTGCCTGGCCTGCGCCCTAGAGAAATCACAGCCCTTCTAACCGCCAGGCTGCCCTCCCTGGGCTGGGCGCCCCCTGCAGGTGGGGTCCCCACGCCTCTGATGGCCTCCTCCCTGTCTGTTGCCTTCAGTTGAAAGGAGACGCAGGTTTAACATCAATGACCGCATCAAGGAGCTGGGAATGCTGATCCCCAAAGCCAACGACCTGTGAGCAGGCTGGGGGGCTGGGCGCTGCGGTGGGACCAGGAAAGCTCCCGGCGGGGCAGGGGGAGCCCTCCAGGAGCAAGGGGCACACACGCAGGGCTCCGGGCTGGTGGAGAGAAGCCAAGTGGTTGAGGGCCCAGGGTAGGCGTGGGCAGCGGTGGCAGGAACGGGGTCTTGGGAAAGACCAGCCTGCTCGGCGCCGGGCACTGGCGCTCTGTGCAGCCCCCAGCAGCCCCCTCCAGTCTGAGAGGCCAAGAGCAGAGCAGTGGCAGGGGTGCAGCCGTGCCCCTGAGCGCGCGCCTGACGCTGCCTGGCCGCTGCCGCAGAGACGTGCGCTGGAACAAGGGCACCATCCTCAAGGCGTCCGTGGACTACATCCGGAGGATGCAGAAGGACCTGCAGAAGTCCCGGGAGCTGGAGAACCACTCCCGGCGCCTGGAGATGACCAACAAGCAGCTCTGGCTCCGCATCCAGGTCTGGCCCCGAACTTGGACTCCCTGGGGAGCTCTGACCCCTGACCCCAGGGCTGCTACTTATGCGTCTTGAGTGGGAGACGAGAACGGCGGTGCCGTGAGGGAGGAGCAGGTGTCAGGACGTTCCACTTGGGGGCAAGCCAGCCCCAGCACCTTTGAGCAGCAGGTGGTGGCTGGACCCGGGGTGATGGACAGGCACAGCTGGAGCCGGCTCTGAAAGCCGCAGATCCCTCTTAAGCTGCCACACGGCACATCTGCTTACTGGGGCTCCCATCTGCGGGACACTAACACTTAAGGTTTCCTGCTTAAGGGGCAGGAAAGTGCAAGCCTACGATGTGCCTAGAAGCCAAGGAGTAAGGAATCGCCGCAGTGGGCAAACTGCAGAGCACCCCTATCGGCTGCAGCCGCGAGGTCGGTCCCTGCCCGTGGGCTTCCTGGAGTCTTCGGCGCTGAGGCTGGCCCTCTGCACAAAGGACAGTTGGCTCGCAGCTTTTGTTTTGTTTTCAAAGATTTATTTACTTGAGAGACAGAGAGAGAGGGAGAGACAGAGAGGTCTTCCATCGGCTGGTTCACTCCCCAAATGGCCACAACAGCCAGAGCTGGACCGATCCAAAGCCGGGAGCTTTTTCCAGGTCTCCCACGTGGGTGCAGGGGCCCAAGCACCTGGGCCACCCTCTACTGCTTTCCCAGGCCATCCGCAGGGATGCTGGATCGGAAGTGGAGCGGCCGGGACTCCTATGGGCCCATGTGGGATGCCAGTGCTGCAGGTAGAGGCTTAGCCACCGCACACAGCGCCAGCCTCTGGGCCACAGCTTTTAGACCTCTCTGTCTTTCATGGTGGGGAGGGCAGCTGCACGTCCGACTCACGGTGAAGAACACTCAGCTGTAATGGCTGCCATGCGTTCTGTGCATTTCTATTCCGGTCTAGTCTAGACAAGTCTATTTCAATTAGAAAGGCAGAGGGACTCAGTACAGTGGTTTCACAACCCGCTAATGAGTTGCGACTTGTACTTGGAGAAACCGCCGCTCTCGATTCTAGAGCTGCCCCATGCCCGCTGAGACATTCTGCGGTCCTGGGTGCCCCAAGGGGAGAGGCAAGTGTCGTGGCCCGGGCGCGGGCCCGAGGACGGTGCCCCCGGCGCAAGCCCCCAGCCCTCTGTCTGCGCCCTCTGCAGGAGCTGGAGATGCAGGCCCGGGTGCACGGCCTGCCCACCACCTCCCCGTCCGGCGTGAACATGGCTGAGCTGGCCCAGCAGGTGGTGAAGCAGGAGCTGCCCAGCGAAGAGGGCCCAGGGGAGACGCTGATGCTGGGGGCCGAGGTCCCTGACCCCGAGACGCTACCGGCGCTGCCCCCCCAGGCCCCGCTGCCCCCGCCCGCCCAGCCGCAGTCCCCGTTCCACCAACTGGACTTCAGCCACGGCCTGAGCTTTGGGGGCGGGGGTGACGAGGGGCCCCCGGGCTACCCTGAGCCCCTGGGGCCAGAGCATGGCTCCCCGTTCCCCAGCCTGTCCAAGAAGGATCTGGACTTCATGCTCTTGGACGACTCCCTGCTCCCCCTGGCCTCCGACCCCCTCTTCTCCACCATGTCCCCTGAGGCCTCCAAGGCCAGCAGCCGGCGGAGCAGCTTCAGCATGGAGGAGGGCGAGGTGCTGTGACGCTGCCTGCCCCTGTGCAGGGAACAGGGGCAGCCTGGGGCGGGGAGGGCTGGGCCCCCTCCCCCTCCAGGGTGCACCTGCGTGTGAAGTAGCCACCTGCCCCGCCCCACGCCTCCCTGCTGGCCCCCTGTTTGGACTTAGTGCCTGCCTGGCAGCCCATGGGGTCAGGAGAAGCCCCCGCCTGCCTCAGTGCCCCACCTGCCAGGGGCAGCCCCTTTGGTGGAACTGGACGGGAACAGGCCTCCAGCCCGCTGCTGGAGCGGTGTGGGGAAGGGAGGGGGCGGAGGAGCAGAGGGGAGAGACAGTGCCGAGCTTGCACCCCCACCCCTGTGAAGGACAGTGGGCATGGTGGGTTCTGGAAGCAACACCTTGCTGTCCCTGCACACTCCCCTCCCACAGGTGGGGCTCCCACCCCCCTTTGGTGCTAACAGCTCTCCACCTGGTGGTGTGAGGGTGGGGGTGGTTGGAGGAGAGGGCAGGCGGGGTCCAGGTGAGAGTGCGGGGTCTCTACCGGGAGAGCAGCCCCTCCCGACATCCCACTTTGTGCCTTTAGTAAACACTGTGCTTTGTACCCGCGTGGCCTGTCTCTGTGGAGTGGGTCCAGGAATGACATACCTGAGGGGGTGGGATTCTGCCCAGCGGCCCCTTGCGGCTCCGCTGCACCGTGTGGGGGCCACAGAGAGGGAGCAAACCCCAGGCCTGGGTGGGGCTCAGCGCCTGGGAAGCTGCCGGCCATCGGGTCTGGGCGCCGCCCGGGACACAATCCCTGCGCGCGGCCACGAGGTGGCGCTGCGGCCACGCCACCCGTCCCGGTTCCCGCGGCTGTGGCCTGAGACGCGGTAGTTGGGTGATGCGGGGCGGGAGCCGCTGCCAGACAGAGTCTTCCGTCCTCAGCAGCTGCTCGGCGGCATCCTGCCCGTGGCCCAGGCTGCCCCGGTTCTGCAGCGACCTCTCCGGCCTCTCGGGGGCGGCTCCGGCTGCGCGCCCTCAGGACGGCCAGCCTTCCGTGTCGCCCGCGGGACGGGCCCAGAGCGACGACGGAGCGTCCTCCCTGGGTCTGGGGAGAGGCCACGGCAGTTCCTTTGCTCCTGGGCTGCATCTCCCAGACCTCTGCCCCGGCGCCTGGGATCCAGGACGTTACCCGCGATGGGCTGTGGGAGGGAGGAGAGGGCTCGTCCGGCTCCAGCCAGCTGCCCCTGCGCTACCCAAACAGCGTCCCCCTCACTGGCTGAGGTGCTGAAGGGGGCTAATTAAAAAAAATTCCCGGATGAAAATGGCTAAGAGGGCAATTTCCTCTGTGCAGAACGAGATCAAATCAACGCCGGAGCAATTAACGTGCGAGGGGAAGGGGAGAGGGACCTGCACGTCTGGGCCAGCTGGGCAGCAGGATTAGTCTCAAGGTCAGATGGGGCCTGGATGACCTTGCGGAGCCCGAGCCAGCCCTGGCGCTAGTGCCTCCTGCTGGTTCACCCCAGGTCCAGCCCACTGCCCTGGGAACACCCCTCCCTCTAGGTCCCTCTTGGGGAAACCCTGGACTCTAGCTGGGGACACCTGATGATCCGGGCTTGGGCGGCGTTGCAGGTAACGCTGGTCCTGCGGGCGGCTGAGAGAGCTCTGCTTTCCCACTTGGGCTTCTTCGTCCTGTCTACTTGCCCCCGCAACCCTAAAGACCGCTGCTAGCCGTCTCCCCACTGCTTTCCTGGGGACTGCGGCCCGGGCGTAGGCGCAGTGGACTCGACTGAGGATGTGGATGGAGCTCTGTCCACAAGGGGGCGCTCCCAGCCGGAACCCAGCAGCCGCCTGCCGGGGCGGAGAGCGGGGTTGGGGAGTCTCCACCCTACCTGGGGGTCCTGTAGTGCTGCTGATCTGGCTAGGGTGGGCCCACGTGCCGCCTCCAGCGTTTCAACAAGACACAGGAAGCATTCCTGTCTCCAGGGCTGGCGCATGCGACCCTCACCGTGGCAGGAAGGGAGCTGGGCGGGCGGCTCCCTATTGCGGATGGCACAGTCAGGAGCCCCCTTCTCCATTCGTGCTTCTAATTTGACAAGGACACCTTTGCAGCCGCTAGGTCTCCTTTTTCAAAAGGAGAGCGCTTTTGAATGAACCTAGTGTCCCGTGGGAGAGGGGTCTGAGTAAGGGGTCCCAGCTAGTTAGGGGAGGGCAGCAGCTGCAGCTCTCTCAGGTCCCATGGGGGGCCCTCGAGTGGGAGCCAGGGTGCTGGCGGAGTGGAGGTGGGGAGGGTGCAGGATGCAGACCCCCACCCCACCCCCCGCCACTGTCCGCTATCCTCAGCTGCAGCTCCTCTCCCTGCCTGTGCCCAGTGCCTGCCTCCTTGGTGCTAGGAAGCTCTGGGTTTCCAGACATATGCACCCCTCCTCAGCCCACAAGAGGCCAGCAGGACCCAAGAACGGCCCACATGGCCTAAGAACCCCCCACGTGGAGTTGCCCAGGATTCCATCACCCACAGGTCTTCAAAGTCAAGAGATTGACTAATTGAAACCATTAGCTTGGACGAGAGCCTACCGTCCACCGGCGTCTGATCCCGACACACAGCCTGCCAGGAGCTCACCCAACCTACCTGTTCCCCTGCGGTGCACCTCCTAGTCTTCAGCCAGGGCAGCTGGAGAGAGCCCCCTCCACGTCCTCGGCCCCACCTCTCGGAGTGCAGCCCTCCCCCCAAGGCTCCTCCAGCCTCATCTTCTTTCTTTGCTCTCCTTTTTCCGAGGGGGGCAGTGGAATTTATACAATATTTAAGCAGCCAGAGCCGAGTCCGGGAAGATATTATTAATGTAAAAGGGACGGGGCTGCAAATGCTTTTGGACCTGGTTACAATTAGAGGGTGATTTTTCTAAAGGTCAATGAATTCAGATAATATCCACAGGGGGGGGGAGAGAAATTTAATACCTTTTTAGTGAATTAATTAATTATAATATTATATCGGCTTGGGGTTCTTTTCCTGAGTGATTAAGGGAGCGATCTGTCTTCTGTGAGGCCGGGGAGCAGTGTCGCAGCAGCGGCCGCCAACGAGGACCCTGTCACTGGGCTGGAGGTGGGGGCCTTTCCTTCTCATCCCGGCTGGGGCTGGCGGCCAGCAGCGGGCTGAGGGCAGGTGCAGTGGTTGGCAGGGGCCCTTGCCCTCAGCCTGTGCCACCCCCTGCCCCGGCCAGGCCTCGGATGGCAGGGGTCTAAGGGACTGACATGGAGGTCATGGCCTCTTTCTAGGCCCACGGAGCATCAGGACGGCCTGGCAATGTGGGGGACAGAAGGGCGCCCCCCGCTCTGGACCAGGCCTTCTGGGAAATCATCGCCTCTCCTCCAGAGACCCTGGGAGCAGCCCCTGAAGTTTGCCCTCTCTCATGGGGGCTACCGGCTCTGTGAAACGGAGATGCCCAGAGTGGGGCTGCGCACAGGGGCATCAGGGCCTGGACAGAGAACAGCCAAGGCTGCTGTCCCAGGAGGGAACTGGATGCAGCCTGGGATATGCTGTGCGCCCATTTGTCCCTGTATGAGGGGACTTCAGAAAGCCCTTGGAAAAACAGGATGAGAAGATCCCTTTATTTTGGTGCAAAAAAAATCATTGAAATCCATGTATGATTTCCTCATACTATGAATTTTCCATGAACTTTCTGAAGAACCTCATGTGAGGGGATTGCAAAAATGTTTGCACCAAAGTAAACATACCTTTTCATCCTATTTTTTGTGAACTTTGTGTGGTCCCCTCAAACTCAGTTGAATATTCATTCCACACACGTGTGCAACACTCTCACTCCTGGATGGTGGGGGACAGACTGAAATAGCCCTTCTGAGCCCCTTCCCCACCCCGTGCTGAGCCCCAGCTGTGTGGAAGGCTGGGGTGGGGAGACCCCTGGATTCCTTTCCTTCCTGGGGGCAGAGAGGCTGGCGGGGCTGAAGACCCTGAGCACCATTCTGAGTTGGCCCCACGCTGGGTGCGTGGCCACGAGCAGCCCTGCTGGCCGGAGCTAGTGCCCAGGCATGGGGCACAGGTGAGACAGACATGGAGGCGCGCGGTGATGAGTCAGTATGGGTTTAGAGAAAGGACACAGGTGACATTCAGCTGGGCCGGTCGTGGGGGACCAGGCTGCCAGAGAGAGGGAGGAGGTGTGGAGAGCGAGAGCAGTGGTTGGTCCCAGGCACCTGCAGATGAGGGTGCAGTGGGAGTGGCTGTGAGTAGATGGGGCCAGCAGGGCGGCCCCCTCTTCTCCCACCCACCAGGCCCCTGGAATGTGCACTGGAAGACATTCCACAAGGACAAAGGTTCTAGGACAGCAAAGCCAAACAGCCCAGTATTTATCATCTTACAAAAAAAAGTTTAAGTGTTTTTTATTATTATTATTTATTTGAATGGCAGAGACACAGAGACAAAGGAGAGAGATCTTCCATGGGCTGGTTCACTCCCCAAACACTGGCCAAAGGCTGGGGCTGGGCCAGGCCAAAGCCACGAGCAAACTCCATCCGCATCTCCCATGTGTGTGGCGGGGACCCGAGGCCTTGAGCCACCACCTGCTGCTGCCCAGAGTGCACATTAGCAGGCTGCTGGAACCGGAAGTGGAGCCAGGACTCGAACCCCGATACTCCCATGTGGGATGTGGGTGTCCCCAGCGGTATTGGTTGTTTTAGCATCCACCCCAAGATCTGAACTTCAATATGGGCTCAGCCATGGCTCACTGTGTGAGGGAGCTGCTCTCTGCCTCAGTTTCCCCAACTGGACGGAGGGATTGCGTCCCAAGGTTGCTGTGGGAACCAAAGGAGTAACCTGGGGAAAGACCTGCCTGTGGCTCACCATGCGGCTGCTGGCATCTCAGCCTCCCGCCAACCCTGGATGGGGTGGGCCAGGACCCCCTCCCCAGCCCGCTCCCGGTTACGCCCTCAATCCCTTGTCCCTCCCAAGGGGGTGCCCGGGGAGACCCCCCTCTTCTCCCTCAGCGCCCCCCAGCCCCTGGCTTCCCCCACCCCTCCCCCACCCTCTCCTCTCCGTGCGCGGCGGCCGGGAGGGCCTTCCCGCTGTACTATCTTTGGGCCCAAATTAAAATTGATGACATCTTGAAATGAGCAGTGAGGGCAATTTTGCTTCTGAGCCGGGATGCTAATGAGGCCCCTTAATGGTGCGAGCGCCTCGCTGACGGGTCGTGTGTCACGCGCCGCGGCGAGGCGGGTAATGGCCGCGGTAAGTGCCGGTAATTACACCCTGTCTCGCTGTATTTTGGCAGGCCTGGTGGGGGAGCAGGGGCTGCATCCCCGCCGGCAGGGGCGCCCCCACCCACCGCGGGGCTGACAGCCAGAGATGCCCCCAGCCCCAGCCCCACCCAGAACGAGGGGTCTGGGGCCCAGCCTAGCCCCCACCCCAGCGTGCACGCGGAGCGTGCGAGAACACGCATGCGCATCCATGCCCCCCATGAAGGCCCCCCATCCACCTCCACACCCTGCGAACGCCCCGCTCCCCGGACACACACAGCTATGGGCACACGGATCACTACCAGACCACACCCTGACCTCTGGGGCGCACCTCGTGTCTCTGCGCGCTACTCCCGGACTGGCTTCCCACGGCCGTCT